TTAAAAGTTCCTTTTGACAGGTAAGTCTAATATGGTCAAGATTATTTTATCATGTTACAGTCCTCAGGCTAATGCGCTCTTAGACAACGTGGCACCTACCTACCAGGCAGTTTACACAAAAACTACAAGCAAATGCAAAGTTTGAGGTTTAGCCAGATTAGCTCTCAGAATGCTAGAGCCATAAGAAATCTTCATTCTGCTTATTGAGACACTGCATGATGACTTGACTACAAAAGCAGTACGAAAAATTCTTTCTCTAAGTGAAAAAAAGCTTGGAAAACATTTTCAGGTTTATATATTTGGGGTAGGGAGGGAATCTTAAAATTATTTCATTCAATTAGAAAAAGAGCTTTTACAAGTATCACTCCAAATTGAAACTGATTTAAAGTGAAATTACCAGATATCTCCACATACCATCCTTACTCAAAAGGACAAACACCTCCAAATATGCAGTCACAGTGCTCCAATGTATCAATATTTATTATTCAAAAAAATTCAAGGCAGATTCCCAAACACAGTAGGAACAATTGAAGTGTATTATGCCAAAAAGGTTTCTGAAAAGCATTAGAAAAGTTGACATCATTTCAAGCCTCTGTTCCCAGCTACATTTTCAAGTACCTGCTACCATTAAATCTCAACTACCCTACCCCAGAGCATCATCAAGAAAACCATTTTACCTCAGTGCAGCTAAATGTCCATATAAACCTCATTCTCTTCAACTTTCATTCTAAGAGGTTCAGAATTTTTGGTGTAACTCCCACATTAATACTAACACTTCTATTGGCATCTCTCAAGTTAAACAAATCATTAAATACAGTGTTCAACAATAGTTTTAGGTATGCCATTCTGCAGTTGAAAAGCAGAACTTTAAAACGTGAAGGACTCTCTGCCAATGCTGAAAGCCTGGAATATTATAACAAAGACAGCAACTGGATTACAATACTAAACCTTAATTGTGCATATTATACCCTGCACACTGCAGTGAATTGCTAGTTATTTAACACTAAGTAGTACTATGTTTTAAGTACCAAAGAAATAATTCAGTCAGTGTATTTAAAAATACAGTGATTTAAGATTAAGCAGTATGACCCACCTGCACTGTGCTGATGCTCAACACAAACTTAGGAGTGCTGATCCGACATACTGTAACTGCACTGAGCTGCTCAAGCTAGATGGGGTTCTAGAGGTAGTCTAGCTAAAGAAGTACTTACTGATGGCCTAAATTATGCTATACATCATGCAGACATGCCCATATTATTTCAGGAAGAATTTCAGTCATATATAAAACACAATCAAGAATTTCAGGCTCTCTAGAACTCGGTGAAGAAGAACACCCCACAAGAGAACATACTGTGGGGATGGGCAAGGATGCTACAGTTGGAGACCCGCTACCCTGACAACTCCCAAACTAACTGCAAATCGCTTTTCTAGCCCACAAACTAGGATGACAACAGGAGGCAGGTGGTAATACTTTGTAGTGAGGTTTGCCAATAGATTAGACTGAGTATCATCATCACAAATATAACTCTTTATTAACAGAAATGCAACTGCCAATAAAAAAAGGGTAACACATTTTTACTAGTCTCAAAAGCTACATAAGAATTCACACATGCAGCCACTACTTAAGCAGAGCCTTGTGCATAAGGTACCCCAAGTTCCAACTCTCAGTCTAGAATCTTAAATGATATTAACAAGTTTTGTTTTAAAAAAAATCAGCATTTGTGCATTTTCAAAACAGGAGAAAGTAACAAATAATATACTGCCCCAAGCCTCATTTTAGGGCAGTACAGCAACATTTTCCATAAAGAACCTGCAACAAGTAACACATGGAAACGAAAAGACTCAAAGCCTTAAAGCAGTAGCATTTAGGCTGTTAGGATGTAAATTGAAGTGATCCACTCATAGCTGCTAGATTATGCATATTGCCTAAATCATCACCGATTTTAAAGGAATCTGATTTTAAAAAGCCTTTTCTCACTGTGTCATAATGATAGCATATTGACAGCATTATTTTGGCATTCCTTTGCTTTTTAGGACATGTTTTTACTGCCTATTCTCATCATCTGTTTATTTTTGGCTTCATTTTTCTAAATACTGAAGCTGCCCTATCAGTTTCACAGGCTTATAAATGTTATACATCAAAAATTAGTTTCACTTATTAAGGCAGGAAACAGCTTTAAGAACTCTGGGATCTGTGCCTCAAAGCAAAAGCTTTATCAGCAGGTTCCAGTCACTGCTTCTTGCAAAAGAAAATGGTGCCGATTAAACCCCCATACACCTGATTTCAAAAAGAACACCTACCCACTGAACATCTTTCACATGGCTGCAAGGAGAGCCGTACCCCAAACAGAAGGCAGCTGTTTCTCATATACTCCCTGCCCCCAACCCTGCAACACTGCTCAAGAAAAATGAAAACTATACATAAAAAGATGAAGTTGAGATAAAAGAACAATAATTCATCCACTTATTTCTCTAGACTTCAGAAGTGGCGTACTTCAATACAGTCATAGTATATAGTTCCATGCCTGACTTCCTCACAGTGTTGTGTTGCATTTGGAAGTTAGAGGGATACAGATAGCCACATCTTAGAAGGGAGTTAATTTTTAAAGTATTATGTTAAATCAGCTTTAAAAGGGACATTTCTTTAAATTGCAAAGAGAAGGAAAGTAGCAATGGAATCAATACTATACAATATAAAAGCAGTATTTTATTAATTGTACACAAAACTGATTTTTTTTATCAACCTCTTCCATAATCAAATCCTTTTATAAAGTTCTTCACTAAACCATAATTAGTCACCAACAGAATGATTTCCTTAAAAAGTATTTTAAAAGATCCACTAAAAACACCGCAGCTTCTTAAAATCAAATAAAAATGAATCTTGCAGTGGGTTATGCAGCACATCTTTAACAACTGTAGAGAACCCCAGTGAATTCACATGGATTCTGCCTCGACAGAACTCATGAGATCAAGCCAGAGTCATTTGAGTTTTCCTTCTTTCAACATACTATTTATTCAGATAAACCCACTTAACCAAAACCAAGTCAAAGCTGTGAATACTAATAATGTTTCAAGCATTTTGTTTTCAGAATTACAACATGCTAATATTTGAAAGTCAACAATTTGGAGCTAATGTTCCACAAATAATAATACATTGCTGTAGCACCTGGGATATGCTAGATGTTGTACAATCCTATGGCTACTGAAATCAGATAACAGTTTATCATAAATATTACAAAACCTTAAAACTTCCTACATTAATTTGTTTTTATAGTCAAACAATTTGCACTAGAACCTCAGTATGTTTTATTGATTATGATATTCTAACCACTTTAGAGTAGATGGGATAATGACATTTGTGAAGGAGAACAGCAAGTGTTTTTCACGTTGTACACATGAAAGGGGAACAGAACAGCATCACAGTGAGAAGCTGATCAGACTTCAGGAGGGCATTAGGACACACTCCTATCACTGTCAGCAGCTGTTACCTTTGCTGACTGAAGTTTTGTGATCACTGGTGAAAAGGCAGGTAAGGGTCTAGTCCTTAGAAACTGCCCCGAGTGACTAAATGTGAGTTTAATGATTGTGTAAGAACAGGCACTTGAGGAACAGGTAGTTTTACCTAACCTTAAGAGAATCTCAGGAACTGTATATCCCATTTCCAAAGCCATCTGCTTTTAAAACCATCACAGTATTTAATTATATTGCATTAAACAGATTTAAATCTGCAATTTTACATTAAAGATCAGCTTGAAAGCCTGTACTTTGTAAAATTTTAAATATTTGTATGAGAATGAGAAGTATTTGGAATTTGTCTGTCTTAATGCTTGCTAATACGTTTGAATTTTGTAGTATATACAGTAGAAAATTCCCATTCTGTGTAGAAGAGTATGCAAGATAGACAAATGAAAGCAAAAAATATGTAATTAATTTCTGATGATTTTAGAATATTTATAATTATATAAATCAGATCACTTAAAAATTTTAACTTCTCCACTCACAAATAGTACTTATCTAGTTATATTTTTATCTGTCTTCATAACTATTCAGACTTAAAACAGCAGCGGGCACAACAGCTTTCATGGATTTCAATTACATACTTCAGCTGCTACCACCTACCATACAGGCACCAATTTAACTATTTCTTACACGAAACTGCAGTTACCAGAGGTACCTGGTAGATTCCTCACCAGTTTAAGTATTCACTCAGCACCACACACAAATTTAAAGGGTCTACTTTTTGGGGCAAAGAGCAGCATAGCCTTCATAAAATTACTCATATACACCAACTAACAAGACATCTTGAAAAAAAAAAAAAAAAAAAAAGCTCACCTGGATTTTTTTTTTATATGCATTTATATACTAAAAATGATGACAAGGAGAAAAAAATCCATTCATTTTATAAATATCTTTTTAAGGCTACAGCAATGTTTCACATGCATCTACTCCTATTGTTCTTCAGAATTCTTCCAGCTATCAACTCCTGATCACATGAATAAACAGTAAAAAAGCACTGACACACAAGTCTGAGTACGCCTGTCCTTATTTGGGCATGTTCTAAACTTGCTAAATCTCTACCTTTCTTCAGGCCTCCCAAGCTTTATTGGGGAGGGAATTCAAAGACAAATCTGAGGCACAAGGAACTCACAGGAAGGGAACATCCTACTCTTGTTTTCTTGGCTTGAGACATGCAGGAAAATCAAAAGCTCAACAAAGATGAGTTGTTACTGACTCATCTGACTTGTGGAGTCGGCAGGAAGGCTTTAAAAACAAGGTTATTTGGGATCGTTCATAGCTGTATTCTCAATTCTTATACATAGCTTCAGCTGTCCAAGCATTATTAGATCAGCAACAAAATACTTCAGTGACTGACAGAAATCTGCTTAGGAAACAGGAAAGATGCCCCAAACTATCTTCAATGTTATTTTAGTTATTACACCTTTTGTACAGATATACAAAACTACATGTTTCCTAAGAGCTTTTGTTAATAGTCCACTTACCTCACGAATGGCTAATCTATCACTCAGCTCCTCAGCCTTATCAATGTCACCTTCAGCCACAGACTTCTCTATGCTAAGTTCAAGGCCAGACTATAGAAAAAGAAAAGCAAGTCTCTTTAGGACAAAGAGAAATAATACCTTTAAAGGGAGTATCTCCTTTCTAAAAATATTTATTTCACAAAATTATTTCTTTTAAGACACTGCATAAACCTGCAATTTTTATGTAACACAAATCACTTTGTCTATGTATTGTAATGGACAGTATAATTAAGAATTCACTGAAAGGCTGCCTGAGCACAAATCATTGCATTAGTTCCACCTTATGTGCAGGATAATACTGTAGGTTAAAAAAATTACACGGACTAGTTTATGCCTGTCACAATAAAATTTCATCTGAAGATCTGGCTTATCTCTTCCATCCCCGGAGCTTTCTAAACAAAATGTGAAATATATGTGTCAGGTAACATGAAGAATGGCAATTACCACTGTATCATTACAGTTCTAAGATCTTATCTTTATCCAAAAACTGAGTTCTGGCATGGTGCCATTCCACTGTGCTAATAAATTAAAAATTCTAGCAGTCTTATAGAAAACAATGAAAAAGCTTCAGAATTTAACCTCTGAAAATAAACAAGTTATGTTGATCATAAAGGTTAACAAGAAAATTTACAAATAATGTAACAATAAAAAGTAAATATTTACTGGAAGTTACAGTTTGAAACTTCTCAAAGAATACAGAAGGGTAGCACAGCAGTAGGTACTGACTTCACAAAAAACTCATAACAAAAGAATTTACAGCCTCACTGGTTTTAAATATTAGTGGTGCTAATGAAAACATATTTGACAGTTTCATAATGTACTCTTTCAAGATAAAGGCAAAAAAGCAAACAAAAAGAAACAGCAATCTGCAAATACTGCACTTGAATTATTCAGGTGGAAGTTGGGAAAAAATAAAATAAAATAAGGAGTACACAATTAGAAGTTGTGGCGATAGCCAATTATTAGATGTCTTTTTTGAAATTAATGAGACATACATTCCACTAGTGATAAAATCTCCAAACTTATATGGACAGCATCTGCATTTTAAGACTTTGGGCCTCATTCCAGATCTACCCTGATCAGTTTAATGACAACTAAATACCCACCAAAAGAACTCAGACAGAACCAACAGTGTCTCATGACCTGCATGCAGAAACTTACTTCAGGCAAATGAAAAAAAACACCTTTATCATAAAGGAGGCTAACTGAACACTTGACATCATAGAACTTACACGAGTCTTTACTAGAGAAGCAGAACAAACAGTGCTACGCTAGTCTCAATATAATGAGTTTCCTAACTTACCCATCATCTTGTATCAGTTATTCCAAATATGACTAGTTACACAATAATATTTATGAATAGAATGTATTATAAACCCAACAAAACTGTATGGCAGGTTTGGCCCTCTAACGCCTACAGCCACTAGTGTTCACTAAGGGACTTACTTGTACATTTTGAAGTTAAAACATGACTAAAAAAACCTCCCAAAAAAAGCCAAAACAACACATATGAAGTCTTGGTCTGTCCTGATAATAGAAAACAAAACTAGACAGGAAACAAGCACAGGTACTGTCTCAGAAGAAAGCACAGCAACTTTTCAATCCAAATACAGTTCATGTGATATCTAAAAAGAAATTAAAAATGTGTACTAGATTATCCTTCCTCACAGTGACTCAACCATTTACTCACTTTCAAACAGTCTCAGTTTTATTCTTATCTCAGTTAAGGCCGAGTTCTTTTACTGCCAAGTACAAGCTGACATGGCTTTTGCATCAACAGTCACCTTTTGTGGAGCCTTGCTATCCACAGGTGATTCAAATCTATCATTGATTCCAAAGTATTGTGTAAGTTCTTTCCATTTCTCCTCATTTGCCAACTGTTGACTACTAAAAGAAAAAAACAACACAAGTCATTAATACAACCAGATCCCTTTCCACAACTTGTAATATTCTTTCCAATACTAAAATAAATTTTTCCATTTGGTAGACATGCTCTTTACACCCATTCACATGTTTTAATGGAAGTGAAATTAAGTTATTCTTTCCCCTCTACAAGTGTAATGCCACAATTTTGAAAGCAAGTTTGTATGCAACTCCACGCAAAATATCATTAAGAGTAACATGAAGTCCATGTTAAGGTACATTAAATAATACATTTGTGTTCTTTTTAAAAAACAAGCAATAAACTCCATCAATCACTGGAATCAAATTCAGCCTGCCCTGACAGAGACACTGAACAACTTCAGAAGACTTTTCACATGATGTTCAAAGCTAGGCTTTGGCCACGCATGCGGTCAAATTTTTTTACAAGTTTTGGCTGATATTAAAACCAGACATCAAATAATCACATTGACCTGGTTATACCTCTTAGTCACTTCATCGTTCTTTTTCCGTTTTTCTATAAGAAAAAAGAAAAAAAAAATAAAAATTGAACATTACAGAGTAATACCCTACAGCACCCAATGAAGTTAACAGAACTCCAATCGATCACATTTCCTTTAAGACTGACACACTAGGAGTTTTACTCAATGATCATGTGGATTTAAACCACTTAGCTGTAAGACTTTTCATACGAAGTAACTCCTATCATATCTGTGAAGTTCTAAGCAGAGTCCACAAAAGTATGCTTTATAGAATTACTGAAATATACTTCGCCATTATAAACCAGTGCTAACTGAGTAAGTTCTACCTTCTTTCCAAAAAGAGGACAAATGTACTACTTGAACTTTAAGTAGCAATTTACAACCTAATTCTGCAAGTGGAAAACAACACTTTTCCACACAAGTGGAATGCAGTGAAAAAATAAAATCCTAGACAATAGCTAGAATACATATACCCAGGCATTCAATTCTTGGTGAAAAAAAAAACCAAAACAAAACCAACAAAAACCCCTACCAACCAGAAATTTCCATTTTCAATGTATTTGACACTACTTCCATTTTGAGAAAAGAAATTCTATAATTATATAAAAAACCTTTTCTGTGGCGCTTTCTTTTTCGGCTTTTATTTTCCTGATGTGCTTGGGTCCTCATTTCACGGTTTTTCTTCTGAAGCTCCAGAAATTTCTACAAGATTAAGAAGAGGCAAATCAGTATTTTAAATTTTCCTATTATTTTTTAAAAATGTCCATAACATGCTCAGTAACATCGTCTTTATTATCCACACTACATTGTTATATCTATTCCATTAACATTTATGCATTGAGAACACCCAGCTCTTGATGGTGTCAGACTGGAATGAGCTCTCATCTTTCATCACCTCTCTCTGACTTTCTGCCCTCCGTAAATCCCAGGACTATTCAAACCCGACAGTTTTCTCACGGGACATGACACTGAATACACTTAACATTGGTTGTGCACTCCTGAGCTATTCAATGTACCATTATTGTGTAGCTGGTAGTTTTTAATACAGGTATTACTGACAGCATCATCCCTGCACAGCAGGCTACCAGCACAGATCGTGGATGGAGGAGAATAACTAGTTTTTGCCAATTCTAATTTAGACTCAAAAGATTAAAGCAGATGGCTTTTTTTTTCAGTCCTTAAACGCAACAAGAAAGAGATTACAACCAACTACAAGTCTGAGTGCCTGCAACTAACCCCTACAGAAAGCAGAAGGGTACACCTCTACGTCACAGAAGCATCACCAGTACAATGGCTGATATACTTCAGAGTAAATCCGTATCAGTCAGAAAGCAGTTACAAAGAAGCTCAGAGCCCACACACTACCAAAGATGCAAGTCTTTAGGCAACTGTATAGTTACCCAAACATTTCCCTGCTGTGCTTTCAGTCACCACAGCACTAGGGGGAAAAAAAAGAGTTACACTCACTTCCTATCTAAATTCCTGTTCACCCTACTTGAAACAATCTAAGGTATATTACATGACTGTACTTTGATCATGTTTTATTTCATTTCACATTTGCATTTTAACATTCAACACTGAGTTATTTTAATTTAAAAATTAGCTGTTTGACTTTGAGTATGCTGCATTCCTGCTCTGGACGCTTGTAGACGTGTAACAATACTCACATTCCACATAGTTAAAGAAATCCCAGAAGGGCACGTTTGAGATTCGTTCTCTCCATCTGTCCCTGGTACCACAATGGGTTCACTGATGACATTACTTTCAGGTCCATTCTCTCGGAATTCAGAAAGCTGAACCCTTCCAGTATCTTCTTTTGCATCTTCCTTTGAAAAGGAACCATACGATTCATCTCCATCATCAGAACTTAAATCAACATCACTTTCATTCAGCCCCGGAGGTAACAGTCCACTCCACATCTTCCAGTTTAAACAAGCCCAAGGCACTTCAAGCCGCTGAGAAGATACCACAGTTATGTGAGTTTCGCCATTCTGGGACAAAAAACATAACTAAGCTGCAGAAGAGAGAAGCAGACATAGCAAAACACATCATCAGGAATACTTTAATTTATCTTGAGAGAAGTAATTACCATTAGATGTTTTAGACAAGCATATTATAAAGCTTCTAATACTCACAATTTCAGAGAGAAATAGATTTCAGTACACAGGTTGAAGCTATTATTTTTTTTCTTTGTTCTTTAAAGTTTTGTCACTTCGCAGTTGTTTACAGCTCCCTTCAGTTTAAGGGCGATGCTGCAGCCTCTCTCCCCGGGAAGCGGGGGAGCACGTCTTCCAGCCAACCCCCCCCTCGGCCATCCCTTCCCAGGGCGCCGCAACCGCCTCCCCTCGCCGCCTCCCGCCTGCCCGGCAAGGCCGCCACGGGCGAGCCCCTGCGG